ACAATGGCCTGGAAAATATTACAAGAAGAAAACAAAATAATAAATAATAGGATACTGATCTGACCTGATCGGAAGGGGATCACGGGCTGGCCACGCGCTGTTGGACTGCTACCTGTTCACCGGTGATGAGGAGGATAAAAGGGGGGTGTACCTGCAAGACACTCCGATGTCAAAGTAAGGAATTGGGCAGAGTGAGAGCAAAGTACAGAAATGGGGTAAGAAGTGAATTACCTGACCCTCTTGAGGAATAGGGTATTTATAGAGAGACCCCAGCGCTGGGCCAACGGTCACTTGCGTTGGGCTGGATTGTCAGGCCCAACCCAGGTGACTGCTAGGGCTTACGTGGCATAGTGAAGACCAGGATGTGGTCTTCGCCCTAGTCCAACTGCTCTTTGATCTCCGGAAAGTGGGTTTGACCTGCTCTTTCGGAGGTGGGCAGTTGGTTAGTGACGTGTCCCCGCGGAGGGGAGCACATGGAGAACGCGCACAGGCCACGTTGTTCTCCCTGCGGAGGGGAGCTCGCGAGGTTCATCAGAGCCGTGTCATTCTCCCCGAGGAGGGGTGCACACGTGGATGTGGGAGAGCCATGGGCTCTTGCTCGATGGGATGGGGAATACCGTCCGCGGGGGCTGTTCTGCCCGGCTAGGGGGAGCGCCAAGGACGCTTAGAAGTGTGTCGTCCTGCTTGACAGGGAGCGTATCCGGCCCGTCCGACAGGGGGGTGCGCGCCCGGTTAAGCTGCCTCACTTATTGGGCCTTGTCCGTTATTGGGCTGGGCCGCGAGGCCGGTCCCAGGCCAGAACAGATACGAACATTTAAGTCGAAGCATCCAAAGTCGAGGGACTAAGATCATTATTTAGAGCCACCTCGGGGGTAGCCTGAAAGAGGTTAAACTCGTCAAAAAGAATCAGGGGAGAGGGTTAAAACTTTTGGCTTGTTCGACGACCTGATCATGAACCTTGTTCATAGTTTGCATAGCCCGTTTATGGGAATCATGGAGGGTTGCCTTCAAGCTAGAAACTTCATTTTTTAAAAGTATTTAGAGCCTTGACATATGCCTCTGCCGCCAGTCGAATATTTTTTTGGTCCTCGTCGCACGACATCTCATTTTAGTAACAACATCAGAAGCATCCTGATGCTTTTTTTCCTCCGCCTTAAGAGCAACCTCCAACTCAGTTATCCTGGTAGCCAAAGTAGAAGGGGAGTCGTGAAGTTTCTCTTTCTCTTGCAAAAAGTATACAGTCTTAGCCTTCTCTTGCAAATAAGCAATCTCCTTCTGAAGAATGGAGCACCTCTACTACATAGCTTCACATTTCCCTTTCCAAGTGTCCCTCTCCTTGAACGGGTTTCTAGGAACCAAAATGTCTCCCTTGCTACTAGCGACAAGGGAAAGCAGAGAAACAGTCGGATACATGTTGTGGGTGAGCTCAAAGATAAGTTCCATCTTATCTACCTCTAAAATATTTTGAATGAAGGACAAGTACAACGCCGATATTATAGTATCATATTTTTCATGAGTTTGAGTAAGTCTAGACGAGAAAATGTCAGGCATCTGCATGAAGGAAGTTGTTTCCCCTGAATCATCGTCCATGGAAAGATGAGTCTATTTGGGATTTGAAATGGAGGAATAGGGCTTCTTCTCCTCCATAGTTAAAGTAGTCGCATTAGTAACAAGTTGTTAGACCCCGACGACAATAATAGCGATCTCGGTGGTCGGAGCAGGAACAATGGTTTAGGGGGAAGACGTTGTAACTCGGCCAAAAGAATAATCCTTGATGCCTTGTGCACTGGAGAGATCATAAAACATCTACATCTTATCCGTATTATTTGCAAAATACAATCACACATGTCAATTAAAAAAGAAAAACAAAATAATATTTTAAGGCTCCGTCCTTACTAAAAATCTCTTTTATTTCTTCCCAATTAACCACACTTACAATGGCATAAGTATAAATTAAAATTTTCCTCACCTTGGTAGAAGGCACTTCATCGGGCCCGAACCCTTCCTCGTAGTCAAGCCCCTGAAACCAGGATTGCAAGCCTTCCTTCTTAGTTGCATCGTCAGGGGAAATGAGCTCTGGCTTGGTACGGTAAGAAAGGACATCTTGGCGGAATTGAGATGAAGACCAATACTTGAAAAACCTGCCTTTATAGAAGCAATGAGAGTCAACGGGGGAGTAGAAAAAAGTGAGATTGGCTTCTGATGTACAAGGATGCACCAACAAGAAACACTATAGGAAATCACCACAGTCTCGAGTAAAATGTTTGAACCAAGGATCGTCTGTATGGAAACTAATCAACAATTGGTCGTAGTAGTCATCCCAAGAATTACGAAATAGGTAAAATATTTTGAAAAACATATTGAGCGAGGGCTCGCAAGACTTATGCTAAGCACACAACTGAAATACTTCCATAAGAATACCAAGACCTTAGATGAAACTAAGAAGGAGCAACCTTTAAATACTTTAGAACAGACACTTCAAAGTTGGAGAAAGGAAACTATAGTCACATCCTTGCGAATAGGCACTCGTAGAGCAGGACCGCACAATCCTCAAAAGAACTGCATATCCTCTTCTCTGGGCCCACTATAAAAATCGACCATTCTTGAGGGTCGCAGGCCACGACACTAATAACCTCTATTGCTGACTCTGTATTCATAATAGATTGGGTACATATCACCTCGGCTTCCACCCAACCATACTTCATCGGGTCGGCAGACTCCATTAATGTCAATATTTTCTGGGAAAAATGGTCGATCTTAGAATGTTCGTCAGACGTGATCCAAGACACTCCATTTGGCTAACCTCAATGATCCAAGTGGGCATTCACTTCAGCGTGGTTGGGTTCACAATTATTGATTCTCAGGAAAAGATGGATAAAATTTTTAGCGCATTCTCTCATCCTCCGGTTGGCTTGTATTTCCTCCTCGATTAAGACGGGAGTGGGAATATGCACCTCATTACGACTTACCTCTCTACCTACATTTGATAAAAGAGTTTCTAATGAATCAGATGAAAAATATCATTCTTTCAAGGAATCAACATATACCATTTCTGATTCAAAATCATCAGATAAGGATATCACTTATGGGCCCATGCGATCATGAACAAGTGGAGGGAGATGGGAATCAAGGGACACATCTATTCTTCCAGTAAAAGAAGTTTCGCTCTCATAATCACTTACTAGTTTAACGCTACTGTCACTCATCTTGACTAAAAAAGGGAATGTTGGAGATAAAAGCTTGAGTTAAGGGAGGAACGTGGTTATGTGAGAGGAATGAAGCAGGTTAAATGAAGAAGGAAAAATATTCAGGTCAAGGAACTGCAATCATTCTGATTAACACTCTTAGAAAAGAAGAGATAAAGGTGTTTGATAACAAAGTAAATATGAATAAGTTTGAATGCCAAAGATTTAAAAAAAAAAATTCCAAAACACTAAACTCCTCCTATTTCTTGACATAGACGAATGAACGACCCAGATGAAGGAAAGTAGTCACTAGATCAATGGATGAATTTCCCTTTAGGATACATGAAAAATCGAGTGGACATAAGTGCGCTATAATCTGTGTCATGCCTTAACTTTTCATGTCAGCACACATGTCAAAAGAAGCCAATGGAACGTTTCAATGATGTAAATGTATTTAATGCGCTTGTTCCCCACTCCTTTTTCAATTGAATTTAAGCATTTCAATTCTAGCTCACATTGGACAACATCTTGAAGGCCGACCAAAATGATTAAAGGCTTCCTTGGCTCACTCAGTACCCGGCAAAATCTTGGGGGCAATCGTTCCAGGATGGCCAAAGGACCAAATAGCTGAGGCTTAATTCATCTCAAATTCACTTCACTTGACCCAAGGTATAAAGCAAGTTCACAGGAAAAGCAACATATATTCTTTGGTCTCTACTTTTCATTATCCTCATCTTGAATCTAGAATTGATTTGTGTGTTTGAGTGCTGACCATGCAGATCCACGTCGCGCCTCCGTGATGGAGATAAACATCATGAGATCAAAATCATTTGTTCACCAAGTGCATCCATTTTTGTTTCCTGAACAAAGCACTTGCCAAGGTGGAGATTGTTGAGTATGAGTCATATTGTTGAGATAATTATGGGTAGAGATAACTATTTGTTAAGGAAAATTGAAAATTAATGTTTAGGAAATTGAGTCTATATATATATATATATATATATATATATATATATATATATATATATATATATAAACACTGACATCCTAATTAATTCATAAGGGAACTATAGCTGCTATATAGTTACAGAGGTATGCACCATTGATCGAACTACGCTAACAAAGATCAATCGTGTTTATTGTCTTTTACTTTTGTTCATCTTTAATCTTCTTTGTTTGTTGTTGGTATCAGAGTCATGGTTAGACTCGACGGAGGGGCAGAAGTGTGATCTTAGTGTAGATATAGACTAATGATGTTGGGTGATATACACTTGGGAGAAATTGTTGAAATTTAAGTGTGAGTGGTTAAAGTCACATGCATATCGACTAAAAATAGAGAAAATATTAGATATATAAGATAAAGCATCGATACGTATCTCATTTTCTTAAACTTTTAATTGAATATGTAGTATTGAATCATGAATCTTTAGTTAATTGACACTTCCAATAATATATGGACTCTCAAACTCTATGTTGTTTTGAGATACATAAATTATTAATTAATTTGATAGCTAAAAGTGAAAGTTTGTGTGCATACAAAATATGAGATCCGAAGTGAAGTGTCAGAAGACATATTATTGATAGCCTAGTTGTAATTGTCGTACTTGTAACTTGCAATAAAGGGCATCCAAAACCCAATCATATTTTTAACCAAACCTTTGCACATTGGAATTTGAAAACCATAATAAAGATGCTATATTCTGTGCACGCAAACAACTAGCACAACTACAACAACAAGATCCTTCAATCAACACCTTTCACATATACAATCACCCTTTGTTAACTATCATCAAAATATAGAATTCAAGCTTAACCATGGAAAAATATGAGATAATTAAAGATATTGGATCAGGAAACTTTGGTGTTGCAAAGCTTGTAAGAGAAAAATGGAGTGGAGAGTTATATGCTGTTAAGTTCATTGAAAGAGGCTTCAAGGTTACACTTTTCTTCCCTTTTTATGTTATTTTTTGGAGTGTGTTCAATTTATTAATGATGTTTTGTTCAATTTCATAGATTGATGAACACGTGCAAAGGGAGATTATAAATCACAGGTCCTTGAAACATCCCAATATTGTTAGATTTAAAGAGGTACTACCATTTTTGTTATGTCCTTGATGCATCTCAATATTCTGTTTCGATTTTTCATTGAAAGAAATTTCAAGAATCTTTGAAATGTCCATTGATTGTAGGTGTTGATTACTTCAACTCATTTAGCAATAGTGATGGAATATGCTGCTGGGGGTGAACTGTTTGAAAGAATATGTAGTGCTGGTAGATTCAGTGAGGACGAGGTAGTTTATTATAATTTATGTCATGTTTCCAACAAAGTTCAATTAGTAACAGTGACATATTTTAGACAAACTTTTTTATTTTTTTATGTAACAGTTTGTTTTTTTATGTTTTTTTTTAAGGTTTCACATTCTAGATAATTTAATCATAATTTTTTCTTCTTCTTGCATATAGGCAAGATATTTCTTCCAGCAGTTGATTTCTGGAGTTAGCTATTGCCATTCAATGGTACCATTCTTGACAAATCTGATTCTGTTTGTTTCAGTTTCACTACTTTAGATGAACAAAAAAGATATGATTTTCTTACAGGAAATTTGCCATAGAGATCTTAAGCTCGAAAACACACTTCTAGATGGAAGCTCGGCACCGCGGCTCAAAATATGCGACTTTGGTTACTCGAAGGCAAGAACTAATTATGTTATCACTTAAATTTCATTTAATATATATGTTACATCCGAAGTACTGACACAACATTGACACTATACTGACACAACATTGACACTATTACTAGTATACACGTAATTATATGTCTTGGTGTCTGACACAAGACATACTAGACATGTCTTCTGTATGAAGCAAAGTACATGACTACATAATTTTATCTAAGTATTGTTAATTAGGCGCTATTTTGATGTGTTCTGCATTTGTTTTTCAGTCATCTGTTCTGCACTCCCAACCAAAATCAACTGTCGGAACCCCGGCTTATATCGCACCAGAGGTCTTATCAAGAAGAGAATATGATGGAAAGGTAACTATTAACTAACTTAATCAATCAGATTAATAAATTTATTCTTTTCAAATTATGTAAGCGTGTGGTTTTACTCAACAATATGTTATGTTCTTATCCTTAAGAATGATTAGATTGCAGATGTTTGGTCTTGTGGGGTGACTTTGTATGTGATGCTTGTTGGTGCTTATCCTTTTGAAGATCCAGAAGACCCAAGAAACTTCAGAAAAACACTTCAGGTTAGTAAACCAATTAATAATTAATTTTCTATAAACTGTTCCTTGTGTAATATACATAACCAATCATGTAATATATAAACTTGTTTTTGGATAATTTTGACAGCGAATTCTTAGCGTCCACTATTCTATTCCAGACTATGTCCGCATCAGTCAAGAGTGCAGACATCTTTTATCAATAATATTTGTCGCCAACCCCGAGAAGGTATACAAACAATAATTGTCATTATATAAAAGAAATAAAGGATATACAAAAATAGCAGACAAACGGACAATAACCTTGGACGCTATATTGATTTTTCTGATGTTGTTAACTTTTGGTTACATTATTAATGATGCAGAGAATTACCATACCAGAGATTAAAATGCACCCATGGTTCCTAAAAAACTTACCGCTAGAATTCGCAGAGGGTGAAAATAATTTACAGACCAATGAAAACAATTCATCATCACAAAGCATAGAAGAAACACTGTCCATAATTCAAGAAGCTAGAAAAGCAGGTGATGGTCCAAAAGTGGGTGAGCAGTTTGTTGGGGGCAGTATGGATCTTGATGATTTAGATGCAGATGCTGACATAGATGACATCGAAACTAGTGGTGATTTTGTTTGTGCTTTATGAATAATGATGATGTTTGCTATTCTTCCTTAAAAGTTGTTTCAAGATAACATGTTTCTTTTTCCCATCATCCTTAACAATGTAAGGAATCAAACAAACAAACAAACAAATTTTACTTGTCTTGATCTAAGGTTAAGTGGAGAATATATAAAATAGTGTTGTTGATTTCTTGCTTTATTGATGCTTTTGTTGCACTTTGCTAAAAACATATCATTGTAAGATATGTTGTTATATAAAAGGTTTCTTTAATTAGAATTATATGCTTTTTTTTCTTTTTTAGTTTGGTGTGTTTTGTTTTCTTGTACGAAAGTATGAACTTTATGGTATGGTGACAAATTCAGAGTTGAGGAATCAACGATCTATCATTGTCATTCTATCAGCATCTTAGATGGAAGCACTAGTTGGGTAGTGTTATATGAATGATGCTGATGCATGCGCCATGCTGCACGGTCATGAAAGTAACTTTGAAATTAAAATATTAGACTCATTTCTTTATAAATAAGGGTTTGTTTGGTTAAAAAATGTTAGGTTTAAGTGTAGTTTTTTTTTTTAGTCTTTCCATTTAAAAAATCAGTTTTTTTTTCAATTGTACTATTCTTAAAAGATTTATAGTTTTTCTCTAATTTTACAAAATAAAAACTTACATAGAAACCAACATAACACTTAGCTTTATAATTGACTAACTTTCAGATGGGTACTCTCCTGTCTGTCTGTCCGCTTTTATTAATGCACATACGGGTTAAAATATAAACGGTATTTTTTGTGTATTTATTTTTTTATTTTAATTAAATTATTTATAAAATAATAAAAAATAGTAGAATGAAAGAGAAATGTAAACCATCATATAACGGTTAATAAAAGAAAAGTTGAGATTTAATAAAAAATTGAAAAGGGTATAATTGAAAAACGAAAGACTACATCAAAAACAAGTTTTGTCTTTATATATAACTAGCATCCAGACGGGCACGTGCTCGTCTGTCCGCTTTTTATAATACCTACGTCGTAAAATATAAATTGTATTATTATTTTTATTTAATTTTTATTTTATTATTTATTATTTATAAAATAATAGTAATAGATAATGGTGTAAAATTTAATAAACGGTCACATAACCGCCATTTATTAAAAAGAGAAGTTAAGATTTAAAATAAAAAATGAAAATAATATATTTGAAAGAAAAAAAAAAGACTACACTCAAATCATGTTTTCCCTTTATATATAGATATAGATTATAAATTACAACCTTTTTATTAATTAAAAAATAAATAAATAATATTCTCTTTTCTCCATTGTCACAACCACCATGATTTCAATTTTAAAAAATTAAATTTTAAATAAATTTAAAATTTTCTCTCCTTATTGATTATTTTTAAAAATAAAGATTTAGGTTTATTTTCATTCTAATTTTTCTCATTTTGCATACTTGGTGGGTAGGACTAAAAATAACTTTTTATTGACTTGGCGGGTAGGATAATTTATTATTCATTATTAATTTTTTAAAAGAATTAATTAATAATTAATCATTATATTATTTTTATAAATAAATAATTAAATTATGAAAAGCAAATGTTGCACCTTAACCCAATTCATCACCCATCAGTCCAACGTTTGAACGCTTTAATTAAAAATTGATGTCAGTGTATGATAGAATTATAATTTGACATAACTCAATTTTATAAAATCGATTGGTAAGATGAAGGTATCACTCTATATAAAGCTTTTGTAGATTATATCTTTAACCAATATGAAATTTGAATTTTTTTCAATAATACAACATGTATAAACACATAAATAAAGTACAACTCAAACAATATAAAACTCAACTTACTACTTAAAACTAGTGCACCAGTCTCACAACTCTTCTTCATAAACAACAAGCATTTCATAAACTCAATTCAACTCACCTTTCCATAAACTCAATTCACCTTATATCACTAAAGAGGTGTTTGTTTCAAGTTTAGAAATCAAATTCCTGAGATAAAAGAAAAGCAAGTTATATGCAGGAATCATCTTGATTTTGGTATAAATAGCACGTATGAAAGGCTTATTTCTCTGTCTCATCCACAATTTTTAAATACAACAAATGATATTAAAAAAATGTAGTTGACTATTTAGTGATACATGTATTGTGCAAAAGGCTTGATTTGGTCGATCCCCTTCAATTATCCTACAGAAGAATACACAACAACTATTAGATTTAAGAACTCTTGCATTGTTGATATAATGTTAGTCCTATATTTGTATTGTTAGAGTTTTATTCATTGTTTATATAGCTTATTCAAACAAATGATAATGTTTACTTTTGAGTTGAAAAGAAGTAATTGTGAATTAGGCTCCGGCCAAAAAAAAAGTTTTTTTTTTTAATAAATTGTATTCATTAATAATTAATTTTTAAAAAAAATTAATTAATTAATAAATTATCCTAGTCAATATTTTCAATTTAATAAAAATATTTTTTTCAAATTATTAGTGTCACGTTTGTAAAATTGAAGGGGATCGACCAAATCTCAAGTGATGTAAATTTTAGGGAGTAAAAAATTAAATTTTAAAATGGAAGGATTAAAAATTAAAAAATTTTAAACTAGAGGGACCAATAGTGCATTTAAGCCAAAATATTATAGATATTAGACAGGAAATGACAATTTGTAATAATACTAATTTGAGGCTTATTGAACACAAGCCTATTACCTTTACCGTTAGCTCTCGAAATTCTTAAACTTAATTTAAAATTTTACTTTAGTCTTTTATTTAATGAATGTTACTTTTTAATTTTTCAAAAATTATTTTGCAAATAAATTTGATTCTTTATGATAATTTTGCCCAAAAACTTTAACTCGTGCTTATGTAGCAATTGAATTGGTAAAATTGAATAGAGTGAGTTAACAAACCTCATTTAAATAATCTAAGAGCACTTGGATGAGATGATAATGAATCTCTTTCAACTTAATAAGAGGTTCTGGGTTCGAACTCATACCCTGGATCACTATTATTAGAATAAGATTTGTTTATGTCCTTAAAAGATTTTGATGATAAAAGAGTATTTAAAGAACAACATGTTATACTAATGATTGTTCAAGTGCGTTGGATCATAAACTAAAGAAATCATCATTAATCATGTTGAAAGCATAAGTGAAGAAACAATACTTAAATTCTGGCTAATCAGAATCTGAATATGTTTATTAGACTTTGAAAGCATCAGATTTTAGACTCATGACTCAACTTCTGATGACAACTCAGTTTTTGAAGACGTGGAGAGCAGTTGATTGGTACACTGCACCAAAGCAGACTTATCTTATCAGAGCCCTAGATTTCTAGACAGAGTCAACTAGATTTGGTTTTGCAAGGCTCAAGAATGGTGATGTGACCTCTTAAATCTGTACTACTTTTTGGTAGATACCTAGTTACTCGAAAGGTGCTATGAACAAAGTTATTATTCAGTGGATAAAGCTTCAAACCATATGCAATTCTCCAACGTCTTTTTTGGCATACTTCTTCACTAAGTTTGTTGTTGTTCAAACCTCCAACGACTATTTTTCTGTCTCTATAAAAGGAAGTTGAAGACTCAGAGGAAGGTTACACCATCACAACATATAGAAAGATCTTATCATAACTCTGAGTTGTTTTTGTAAGTGTTATAACATAAGATCTTAAGATTTCTTATCCTAGATTTATCTTAGAAATCTTAGAAAGGTTGAAAATTATTCTGATTGTTGCACAATTGTTATACTTCTGATTGTGTATCATACTATATTAGTTATCTTATCTACTAAGTAATTTGTTTAAAGTAGAATACATCTCTTACATGCGTACTTGAGCATGGAAGTCTCTTGTCTATGTACTAGAGCAAGAAGTCTCATTCTAGGTAGATTGAGCATGGAAGTATTAAGTCATTGGTTTAAGCAGGAAGTCTTGAGCAGTCGCTTAAGCAAGGAAGTCTTATTTAATGTTGATTGAGCAGTGGCTTAAGCATTTATAATCATTTTGGTTGTAGTGAAAATCTCTTGTTGATGCAATGGGATTGGACTACTCCCAATTGAGGAGAGGAACCATGATAATTTTTGTGTGTTGCTTGCATTTACTTTTGTACTTTATTTTCCGTTGCTATAATACTTTCTATTAACAGACTTTGAACGTAGTTTAGACTTTGAACTTATGATTTCAAAAGTGGAACGATTTTTTGCAAATATAATTCAAGCCCCCTTCTTGTTTATTTTTCTCATCTTCAGTTATTTGGCAATATTGTTTTACTTCTTACCTTTGTTTAACTTTTATCACTTTCAATTCTCATTTGACTCAGTTAAAAACTTTTTCCCTCAAACGACCACACTATTATGTTTGTCGCTCCTATATCGATCAGTCCCCAAATTTCCCTCGCATACCCTCACGTGCCACCTTCATCCTGGCACGCAAGCCTAATTCTTAGTGTTGTCTCAGTTTTCAAAGATTTAGCCGTCAATTTACTTGTATGACCCTCCTTGTTATGTTTGTGTGGAAAAAATTGAATTCTACCATACTTTGTTTTGAGATTTTTTTGTTACAAACGCTTTTTTATCAATTGTTTATTCAAAGCATTCTTTTTTGTTGTCTCTTCAATGGAAGAAGTTATAAATTATGGCACACCTTCACCAATTACTAGTAAGAACTTGCGTTCTCGATCTTTTACTGTTTTTGATAGTATTTTTTAGGAACACTTGGATTCTTTACTATGGTTATACTATTAAAAAATACAGGTGTGTGTGGTATCCTTACAAGGGTATAGGATACTAAGAGGCCTTAGTAGGTTTATAACAATTTATAGGGTTAAGGCATGTTCGTGGCAGCGATAAGCCTTGTATGGTGATTTTAAGATGTTTATAGTGGTACGAGAGGTCAACTCATTTGAGGTGAGAGACTTTGTGTATTATGCAATATGTGTTCCCCTCTCCCGTTAGGGGAGAAGTATTATAGAGGCCCTTGGGCCTAAGACTTAAGAAACCTTAAGAGATGGTATCTGCTCCCCCTTT